GGGAAAAGGAATCACTCTAAGCACTGGAAAAGGAGAAAGGAAAAGAAGCCTGAAAATCAATCTTTGACTGGTCAGGGGAAAATAAAAAGAAATAGGTAAAATAACCCCATAAGAGATCCAACAGAGTTCTTATAAAACCCTTTCATGATTTCAGTGGTGAGCCACATCCAGGTCCCCTCATTTCTACATTCAGGTGGAGTCTTCTTGCGCAGCTATGGCTGTCCTAGTGCTCACCTGATCTCTTTCTCTAAGGGCTCCAAGTACTACACTGACAGTCATTCAATATTGAAAACAATGTTTCATATATTTTGTGCAGCTTTTAGTTACTTACAGCAATAGGGAACTCCAGTGACTGCATTACGTCCAGAAATATAAGACACTACATTTTCTTTAAATGAATCAGTTTTGTTTTTATTTTTTAAAATAATTGTTAGTTATGGAAAATGGAAACAAGTGCATTTCCTTGCTTAAAAAAATAGGATAATATTACAAGGAAGTATTTAATTCACTTTAAATATCATTTTTCCTTACATCTTATCTGCCATGTGCCCATTCTTAGTTTAACCAGATTTAAAATGTATTTTTAGCTTATTCTGCATCCTTTTCCTCTTTGTTTTTAATGTCTCCCATACACATAAAATTCTTTTGGAATTTAAAAAATAAATTTTTTTTATTATTTTTATTTTTTTAATATTTTACTTATTTGACAGACAGAGATCACAAGTAGGCAGAGAAGCAGGCAGAGAGAAAGGAAGTGAAGCAGGCTCCCTGCTGAGCAGAGGACCCTGGGATCATGACCTGAGCCGAAGGCAGAGGCCTTAACCCACTGAGCCACCCAGGCGCCCCTCTTTTGGAGTTATTTTTATTCACTTTGTTAGATAGGTTCTAATTATTTTTTCCAAATTGATAGTCATTTATCTTAATATAATTTATTTGCATGTGACTAACACTTTCAAACTCATCATATGTTAAATTACCAAATATATACAATTGAATATCTTTGCTTGATACTGTGTTCTATTAACATATTTGTTTATTCTACGGGCATACACTATTTAAAAACATTGCTAAAGCTTTATGATATATTTGTTGTTTTTTCTTCTCCCCTGTTCCCCCCACCCCCACACACAAAAAACCTTTGACAATTGTCAACTATATACTTAACAATGTGGAGTTTAGAATCCTTTTCGGTTTCCATAAAAATCTCCTCCAGAGATTTTGATTAGGAATTTACTCTATGTGTCAATTACTTGGGAAAAATTAACAACTTTAAAATGGGAGTTCTTCTCATTATGAATTGTATAACTTACTTGATTCAGTTGTTGCACATCTTTTGTGAAAATGTTTGGTGTTTTTCATGAAGATTGTTCATGTTTTTGTTATGTCTCTTAGTCTTATTGTTTTTGTGAAGGAGATTTATTTCTTTTTATAATTGTTTTATTCTTACATTTGGAAGTATGCGGATTTTTGATTATGCTGATTTTTGACTAAACTCTTTTAATAAACACTATAATCTGTCAGCTGGTTGTTTTGATTTGGTGAACTAGATGAACACACCAGCCAGTAATAAGTTGTGTTGTTTGATGTTTGGTTTTGGTTGTTTTATTTCCTTCTACTCTTATCTCATTAGTTGACACAGAATGTCCAAAGTGACAGGCTGTTGGACTGAATTTACCTGAAAATTTGTAAATTTGTTTAATCCAATAATCATTGAACATAAAGTTTTATAAACATAATCAGTTATCATTATATTGAAGTCATTAAGACTTACATAAAATGTGAATGCCTGATTTCTCCTGAAAATCTGAGTATGGGAAAGATTTGGATATATGCTCCTCATAAGGCAACAACACAACAGAGATGAGTCTTTGCAGACTCTTAAAACAGACAAGATTTACTCCCTTTCTACAGGGAACAAATGTCTTAAATTTTTTCTTAAATGTCTTTGCATAGTTTTGGCTCTATTCAATTTTTAAAATCTCCTTGAACTCTGTAAGCATATGAGTTTGAGAACTTGGCCTTAAAACTCTTAGTAAAATATATAATTATAACAGCTATAAAAGGTGGCCTCTCTTATTCCTGAATTTAATGGATCTCTCTTAGAATTGAGTGTGACATTCCTTGAGGTTTCTGGAATATACCTCTGATCAAGTTAAAGAAACTCATTTTACTTTTAGTTTAGTCTGTTTTAATTGTAATTGGATGAAATTTTATCAAATCCCATTTTGGCATCTCAGAAATAGCCCTTCTATTTAACAATGTAATTTGTTTATCAGAAAATCTTGGTAATAGGAATCAACAAACTAAGGTTTGTGTTGGAAAGCGGAATATGTAAAAATATTTCCAAGCCTTATCTGCTAAAATGTATTTAATGGGAAATAGAGGTAAGCTATTACCTGAGAACTAATGTAATCCTCTATGAAAATATTTGAACAAACTGGTAGTTGACCTTATATTCTAGGATGGCACAGTCACAAAAAGCTCTCAATAATAGAATGAGAAACATGACGCTAAAGCTAGCATCACACTATTCCTTTGATGGACTTTTATCAAGTTCTAAAATCTTACATATTACACAGATATAAAGACATGGACCTCATTTTGAGGTCCTTCCCAGTTCAGGAATCCAGTGTTTATATTATGTGACAAAATAAAGATAATCCCAAGGGTTGTCAAAAGACCCAAGTCATCACACTGTTATTAATTTTTTCTTCTGTATTGATACATGGAAAAAAACTTAAAATATAAAAAGAAGTATTTTACTGTGAAATATTTTCCAATGCTGTTGTAAATTTCCTTCTACAATCAAAAATTAAAGGACAAATAGAAGCTAGCTGCAAACGCTTTTCCCCTATTCCCCTAACTCCCCTATAAACAAAAGTTAGTGTCAGTCAGCATTTATGAAGACACCTTGAGGCTTGGTCAATTTTAAGAGACAATAACAACATTCAAGCTCTTTGTGGTTTCAGGGAGTGTTGGTGGTCTTGGCACTACATAAGCTGACCCTGTGTGCATTTCTGATCTTGCTTCTTGCCACTCTCTTCCTGGACCATTATGTTCCCGGTCTTTCACAGTTCCTTGAAAATACCACAGTAGTCCTGCTTTAGAGTGTCTCTTTCCAGAATATAGACCCCACTAATCCTCATACGGCTGTTTCCTCCTGATCACATTTGGCTTTTTATTGGTACTCATCATCATTAAATATATTGATTACTATGTTTCAGCACTTTTCCTCAGGAAATCTCAACAGAATTCAAAATCAGTTGAAGTGGTACCTGATAATAGAATCTTCTTTTGCCTATCCAACATGAAGTACCCTCCATAAAATAATCAGAGCTCTCCACTTCCATCGATGCTGTTCTAATGATTGCTCTCTCCCTTTTGTTTATTTAGTTTTTATTTAAATTCAATTAGCCCACATATATTACATCACTTGTTTCAGATGTAGAGTTCAGTAATTCATCATTTGCCTGTAACTCCCAGTGCTCATCACATCACATGCCCTCCTTAATGCCATCATCCATTTATCCCATTCCTATCCCCACCTCCCCTCCAGCAACCCTCAGTTTCTTCCCCGTAGTTAAGAGTCTTTCAGGATTTGTCTCCCTCTCTGATTTCTTCCCATTCCATTTTCTCTCTCTTCCCCTATGGTCCTCTGTGATGGTTTTTACATTTGTCTTATGAATGAAACCATATGATAATTGTTTTTCTCTGACTGACTTGTTTCACTCAGCCTAATACCCTCCAATTCCATCCAAGTTGATGTAAATGGTAAGATTCTATCTTTTTGATGGCTTAGTAATATTCCATTATTTATATATATCACACCTTCTTTATCCATTCATCTGTTGATTGATGTCTCAGGTCTTTTCATAGTTTGGCTATTGTGGACATTGCAGCTATAAATATTGGGGTCAGGTGCTGCTTTGGATCACTACTTTTGTAACTTTGGTGAAAATACCTAGTAACACAATATTTGGGTCATAGGGTAGCTCTATTTTTAACTTCTTGAGGAACCTCCAAACTGTTTTCCAGAGTGGCTGCACCAGCTTCCATCCCACCAACAGTGTAAGAGGGTTGCCCTATCTCTGCATCCTTACCAACATTTGCTGTTTCTTGAATTGTTATTTTAAGCCATTCTGAGTGGTGTGAGGTGGTATCTCATTGTGTTTTTGAGTTGCATTTCCCTGATGCTAAGTGATGGAGCATTTTTTATGTGTCTGTTGGCCATTTGTATGTCTTCTTTGTAGAAATGTCGGTTCATATCTCTGCCCATCTCTTGACTGGATTGCTTGTTTTTGGTTGTTGAGTTTGAGAAGTTCTTTATAGATCTTGGCTACTAGCCTTTTATCTGATAAGACATTTGCAAATATCTTCTCCCATTCTGTAGGTTGCTTTTTAGTTTTGTTGATTCTTTTGCTGTGGAGAAGCTGTTATCTTGATGAAGTCAGAATAGTTCATTTTCCCCTTTATTTCCCTTGCCTTCAGAGAATGGATGCTGAAATTCTCCACAGGATACTAGCCAATAGGATTGAATGGTATGTTAAAAGGATTATTCACCAGGACCAAGTAGGGTTTACTCTTGTGCTGCAGGGTGACTCAACATCCATGACTCAATCAATGTGATACACATTAATAAAAGAATGGACAATAATGATATGATCCTCTCAATTGATGCAGAGAAAGCATTTAACAAAATTCAGCATATTTTCATGGTTGTTGGTTTTTTAATATTTATTGACTGTCTCCTTTTTTCGTCCAACCATCTAAATTAGGCTATCTCCAGGGACAAGTTTCTTGCATTCTATAATCATTTAACAGAACTTTATGGAAATTTAATAGATGTCAATCATAAATAGACAAAAGTCTTTCTGTCAAGATGTCTGGTATATTAGAGAGATGGCAAGTAGCAAAAGTCAAATGATAAAGATGTAAAAGTAATTATACATTTGATCATTTTTACAATGAAAATAATGAGGTCACTTGCTTACAAAAGTCCTTCATTTCCCCAGTTTCCTCATGGCATTTTTCACCTCAGCATTCCTCAGGGTATAGATCAAGGGATTCAACATGGGTGTGATGATGGAATCAGACACAGCCATTGCTTTGTCTACGGGGTAAGTGGCCATAGGCCGCACATACAGGAAAATGCATGGCACAAAAAACAATATGACCACAGTGAGATGGGAGCCACAGGTGGAGAGGGCTTTGTGCTGCCCTTCAGAGTTGCAAGACCTCAGGGAGCAGAGGATGACCACATAGGAGGCGATGAGGATAAGGAAGATGGTCACACATATCACCCCACTGTTGAAGATGACTAAGAGACCCAGGGTGTGGGTGTCCATGCAGGCCAGTTTCAACAAGGGAAACAAATCACATATAAAGTGGTCAGTGACATTAGGGCCACAGAAGGGTATTTGATACATGAATAGAAGCTGTATTGTTGCATGGATAAACCCTCCCACCCTGGTCCCTCCCAGCAATAGGCAGCATACCTGAGGACTCATAATAATTGTGTAGTGCAGGGGCTTACAGATGGCCATGTAGCAGTCATATGCCATAACAATGAGAAGGATGATCACCACACCACCAAAGAAATGTTCCTTTTTTAATTTTTTTTAAGATTTTATTTATTGGGGTGCCTGGGTGGATCAGTGGGTTAAGCCACTGCATTCGGCTCAGGTCATGACCTGAGGTCAGGACCTCAGGGTCCTGGGATTAAGTCCCGCACGGGACTCTCTGCTCAGCAGGGAGCCTGCTTCTCTCTCTCTCTCTCTCTCTGCCTGCCTCTCCTTCTACTTGTGATCACTCTCTGTCAAAATAAATAAATAAAATCTTAAAAAAAAAAGATTTTATTTATTTATTTGACACAGGGAGAGAGAGATCACAAGTAGAGAGGCAGGCAGAGGGGGAGGGGGAAGTAGGCTCCCTGCTGAGCAGAGAGCCTAATGTGGGGCTCAATCACAGGACACCAAGATCATGACCTGAGCTGAAGGCAGAAGTTTAATCCACTTAGGCACCCAGGTGCCCTGAGCCACATGCTTCTTAACAAGCATTTTTCCTCCCTTCAGCAAATCACTTTTTAAGACTCAAGAAATTATTCAGTGACTATTGGTATCCCTGAGTAGCTCCACCACAGAAATGGAAAGCAACAATTGGTTCTTTAAAATAATTCCTAAACTGACAAGATTCCCTACCCTGCCATAGTCAAACTGACTTACAACAGTTCCTAGAGTTTCCTATTAGTTTCTTATTTGCTGTTGCCAATTTTTAATTTTTGTGTCTCATTCATAATCATTTTAGCACCTCCCTCACTGAAATCTTGGTGTCTTTCAGACAGCCTCTCATTCCTTTATTTTGGTATTACCTCACTACTATGTCCTGGGTGAAATTCTATTTTTTTAGAACTTTTCCAGTGCTGAGCCTCGACTTATCCTTTTTTGTATTCCAGCCTCCCAGGCAGGACATGACTATCAGATGACAGAAGGAAACCAGCAGTCTTTTATTCTTACTTGAATTTCCACTACTTCCAATTTTTAGAAACCTTGACAACTTCTGTCATTTTTAGTAGTTAAATATTGTGTGTAATATTCCCCAGGAATTAGACTTTATGGAAGCAAGTGTAGTAGTTTAAAAATCAAAGTAGCAAAGGGATTCTTAGAAGTGCAGTTTCCCAGCATTGGGAAGGTCAAATTTTAGAGTTAACAGATTTTCAGCAGATTCAAAGAAGGTGGGCATTGAGAGATACACAACTGTTTTACAAACAGAAAAGTATTGTGAACCTTTAACACAAATTATCATATTCAGAGAATCTTAACACATTTCTCTGTCAGGTATGTATTTTGCATTTTCTTGGAGGATTTTTTTTTTAAAGATTTTATTTATTTATTTGACAGAGATCACAAGTAGGCAGAGAAGCAGGCAGAGAGAGGAGAAAGCAGGTTCCTCCTGAGCAGAGAACGTGATGCGTAGCTAGATCCCAGGACCCTGGGATCATGACCTGAGCTGAAGGCAGAGGCTTTAGCCCACTGAGCCACCCAGGAGCCCCATTGGAGGATCTTTATTACTAAAAGTTACAGGTGATGAAGTATGGTGACAACTTTGTCATAATTTTCCCAATAGTCAAATCAATCTTTCTTTCTTTCTTTTAATTCTTTCTTTCTTTTTTTTTTTTTATACACATGTTTGTGTTAGAAAGAGAGAGAAAGAAAATATGTGATAGAGTGAGAATGAGTGGGGATTAGGGAGAACGCTGGGTGAATGAGAGACAGAGAATCTTAAACAGGTTCCAACACTGGTGGGGAATATATGGGGCTTAATCTTATGACCCCAAGATCACGACCTGACCTGTAATCAAGAGTTGGATTCTTATCCAAATGGGTCACTCAGGTGTCCTATGAGTCAATTATTTTTCAATGACTAAAGGTGGAATTGAAATTTAATTAACAAAAATTAAATTAAAAAAATAAACAAAAATTAAATTCATCTATAGGAATTTATACACCAAATAAAGCTATATTTTAGTACATAGAACTTTGAACTAGCAAAATTCTGCATCAGGTTGGATAGTTAGGCAGTTAGGTAACATATAAAGCTATGGGATTGGATTCATTTACTGTAGCAGTGTGTATTAACAAAGGAAAAGAGGACCTACGGCATACAACCTTAGTAGTCAAAGAGAAAAAGTAGAATAGTCAGGAGAATAAAGAGTGACCTGCAAAGCAAAAGGAAAACCAAGAACCAAGGTAAATAGGGATCTGAGTGGACAAAGTACAGAATCCTCTAGGACTAGGTGAAACTTGGATCCAGGATTTAGCCTACTTCTTGACTTGATTGCCACCTGTGGAAAGATCTCATAAGAGTCAAGTTAACCAAAGGGTTGTAGAAGCCACAGAAATTACCATTAAGCAACCAGGTCACCCTCACCTGAGCAGGATGTGAGGTGTGGCTTTTTCCTTTATCTGTTTAAGAAATTGTCTTTCAAATTGGTCTTTATCCAAGCTCTGGATTATATTATTTTAGTTTATCTGTCCACATGTGTGACAAATCTCTCCTTAAAAAATATATTGTCAATTCTTTTTAAAGAAGCTTTTCCCTTTTCCTCTTGGTTTAGAATGTTGTCTCTATTTTTTTCTCTAAAAGATCTCAACAATGCTGTACTTTAATTAAGAGTCCTATAAATGGTCTATCTGGCACCTTCTCCAAATAGATTTCAAAACACCTCAAATCTGGCAGCAAGCCCAATGTGAACCCTGCTATTGATACCCATCAGTAATCTGGAGAGTGTTGTCTACTGCTCATTTTATCTCAAATACATGTTCCTACCTCTTCCAGGAATTAACGAGATTCTTCCATTTCATTATACTTATTATTGTAAATGTTCAAATCAGTTTTCATGAGTTAGATTATTAAAGCCACTTTACTTTCACAGTTTCATTTACTACTAGAGCATGTAATTCCAGGACACAATGGCTGGTTCATTTAGCTTCTGTTCATTGGATGACTATTTCCAATCTCAGAGGGTAGGAGGTTATCTAAGTTGATAGATACCTGACAAAGAAGTATAGATCCATTCTTTTCTTTTCTTTTTTTTAAATTTTATTAATTTATTTGACAGATAGAGAGAGAGGGAACAAAAGAAAGGGGAGTGGGAGAGTGAGAAGCAGTCTACCCGCTGAGCAGGTAGCCCAATGTGGGCCTCAATCCCAGGACCCTGGGATCATGACCTGAGCTAAAGGCAGGCACTTAACAACTGAGCCATCCAGGTACCCTGAGCCATTCTTTAAAATCTCCTGGTTCAGGGGAGGAGTCAAGATGGTGGAGAAGTAGCAGGCTGAGATGACATCAGGTAGCAGGGGATCAGCTAGATAGCTTATCAAACCATTCTGAACACTTACAAATCCAACAGGAGACCAAAGAGAAGAAGAGCAACAATTCTAGAAACGGAAAATCAACCACTTTCTGAAAGGTAGAACCTGTGGAGAAGTGAATCCAAAGCGATGGGAAGATAGCCCATGGGGGGAGTGGCTGGTTGAGGTAAGTGGCAGAGCAATGGAGCACAAAATCAGAACTTTCAAAAGTCTGCACCCCTGAGGGACATTGCTCCAGAGGTTAAACGGGGGTGAAGCCCATGTGGCGACAGTGTGGCCTCAGGTCCTGCAGGGTCACAGGATTGGGGGTGTCAGAGGGCTGCAGAGCTCACAGGTATTAGAGCAGAGAAGCCGGCTACAGAGACAGAGCCGAGGAGTGAGCTCTCAACTTGGGGTTACCTTGAACCATAATCCATGGCACAAGCCACAGCTCTGTGAGTGGGGACCCACAGGATCCAGGGAGACCCCCCTGGAACAGCTCTGGGATCTGCAGGGTTCTGAGACTCCAGGCAGAGCTGTGTGCCAGAGACAGAGATGTTTGGTCACAGCCTGGGTGAGCTCAGAATGCAACTGGAGGCCAGGGAGATGGGAGTGACTGAGTGCTTTTTTCTGAGGGCGTACTGAGGAGTGGGGCCCTGAGCTCTAGGCTCCTCCGGGCTGGAGATTGGGAGGCCACCATTTTCATTCCCATCCTCTAGGACCCTATGGAAAGTGTTCAGGGAACAAAAGCTCCAGAAAATGTACCCAAGCATATTAATTAGCCTGGCCCCTGGTAAGGGTGATGCAATTCTGCCTCAGGCAAAGAAAGTTGAGAGTCACTACAACAGGCCCCTCCTCAAGATCAACAAGAAATCCAGCCAAGACCAAGTTCACTTACCAAGAAAAAACAGCAGAATTCAAGAGGAGGAGAAAGCAAAGGATGGAATGCATAGCTTACTCCCCATGATGCTTTAGGCTTACAAAATTAATTAATTTTTTAATTTTATTTTTTTTCCTTCTGCTAAAGTTTTAACCTTTAACCTTTACTTTTTTTTTTTATCATTTTTTAAATTTATTTTCAGCATAACAGTATTCATTGTTTTTGTACCACACCCAGTGCTCCATGCAATCTGTGCCCTCTCTAATACCCACAACCTGGTTCCCCCAACATCCCACCCCCCCACCTCTTCAAACCCTTCATATTGTTTTTCAGAGTCCATAGTCTCTCATTGTTCACCTCCCCTTCCAATTTCCCCCAACTCCCTTCTCCATGTCCTCCATGCTATTTGTTATGTTCCACAAATAAGTGAAATCATATGATAATTGACTCTTTCTGCTTGACTTGTTTCACTCAGCATAATCTCTTCCAGTCCCGTCCATGTTGCTACAAATGTTGGGTATTCATCCTTTCTGATGGAGGCATCATACTCCATAGTGTATATGGACCACATCTTCCTTATCCATTTGTCCGTTGAAGGGCATTTTGGTTCTTTCCACAGTTTGGCAACCATGGCCATTGCTGCTATAAACATTGGGGTACAGATGGCCCTTCTTTTCACTACATCTGTATCTTGGAAAAAAGACAGTCTCTTCAATAAATGGTGCTAGGAAAACTGGGCAGCTATATGTAGAAAAATGAAACTCGACCATTCTTCTACACTGTACACAAAGATAAACTCAAAATGGATGAAAGACCTCAATGTGAGACAGGAATCCATCAGAATCCTAGAGGAGAACATAGGCAGTAACCTCTT